ACAATCCTTTTGGGAAGGGGTGAGGGGCGGGCGCCAGATGCCACCGGAAATGTGATCAGATGCCCGCCCTTGCCCCGCGATTACCGGAAACTAGTACCTCCGAGGTACTAGTTTTTAACCGTGCATCTTCGGCGGGAAGCCTCGGGTTCGCCACGGGAGCTCTACGCTTCCCAGATGTGGCGGTGAGATCGAGCCCGGAAAATCCACCTATCTTCCGTCTCTGTAGCGTGGCTAATGCTCCGTGTGACCGGGGCCATAATTCATTATTTCAGTTTTAGGAGAGACTGGATTTCTGCTACTCGAGGGGCTTGATCCTTTAAGGCTCTCTTGTCTGGGTCCAACCTGGTCAACCTCTTCTTTGTATCCCTAAACATTTGAGCAGCTTGCTTGTTGCTGTACACTCAGCCCATGATAGCCTTGTAGGTTTGGCTTTAGATATGCTTTCTGAAAAGGGGGTGTGGTTATAAGGGGAGTAGAGCCGCGGGGCCCTAGAACCACCTCGTAACTGCTGGCAAGAGTTTGCCCGATCGAGCCGGGTAAGCTTGAGCAGCAGGGTTTAGTTTTGTTTCCCCAGCCAGTTGCGGCGGAGTAGCGTAGCTCTTAATAATCTTTACCGTCTCCCCTTTTCGTTGCAGTGGGTGGAAACAGCTCTCAAGTGCCCCTCCTGCGAGATACGGATAGTGTTGCAAATTCCGGTAAGGAATGTGCTTATTTAAGGAGGATCGCCTGAGCCCTGCATGTTGTGTGCATACATGGAAACAAGTGTAGACTTTTTGCAGCCCAGGGTGGATAGTCACCCACGAAGCTCCCTTATACTGAATCAGACCCTTGGTCCCTCAGTGTCAGTACCGTCTGTTCAGACTGGCAGCAGCCCTCCAGGGTCTCAGGCAGAGGTCTTTCCCGTCACAATACTGCCCTTTTAACTGCTGGGGACTGAACCTGGGACTTTCTGCGTGCAAAGCAGAGGCTCTGCCACTGAGCCGCAGCCCCTCTTCAGGCTTAGTTGTGCACAACAAACAGGACCACAGTGCGTAATAGCCAGTGAAACAGTAAATCACCGTGTACAAATAAACAATATTTGTTGGTTTTTATATGCAATATAGAGAATTCAGTTATTAACAATAACACTACAATATGTGATACAAAGCTTAGCAGTACATACTCCTGGGATCCCAGATCACTGCAGACTGTGACAGTAGTCATGAAATTAAAAGACGCCTGCTCCTTGGGAGGAAAGTGATGGCGAACCTAAACAGCATGATAAAAAGTAGAGACATCACCCTGCCAACAAAAGTCCGCATGGTCAAAGCAATGGTATTCCCAGTAGTCATGTATGGCTGCGAGAGCTGGACTATAAGGAAGGCCGAGCGCCGAAGAATAGATGCTTTTGAACTATGGTGCTGGAGGAGACTCTTGAGAGTCCCTTGGACTGCAAGAAGAACAAATCAGTCAATCCTCAAAGACCGGAAGGCGGAAGACCGGAAGGCCTGGCGAGAGTTCGTCCATGGGGTCGCGAAGAGTCGGACTCGACTGTGCGACTGAACAACAACAACAACATATAAAAACCAACAAATATTGTTTAATTGTACACGGTGATTTACTGTTTCACTGGTTAGTTGTGCACAAAGCTTGCCCAGATCAGTGGCTCGATTCCCGAGTCCATTAGGAAAGGGCCTCTGAGCTGAACAGGTTGGTCTGGTGGCAGCTTCATTTCTGTTGACCCAGCTTTGCTAATTTGGAACCAGGAAGGTTGTGAGACCATGGCAATGAGTTGATGGCTACTGCTTCCCTCTGCAGGACAGAAGGAGAAGGGGTTTGCTTTACAGAAGGGACTACTAGCAGCTTCCTGTGGTGAGGCAGGCCCTCCGCCTAGAGTTGCCAGACCCCCTATGGGGGGGGTCCCCCTGATTTTGGGGGCTCCAATCTGACGCCAGCCAGCTGGCTGGCAGGGGAAGCACTACCCCCAAACAGCACCCTCCCACGTTGATGTCGTCAGTGCAATGACATCACCCATCACGCCTGGCACGTCACACGGCAATGCTCTAGCGTTTTGACCCAAACTCTGTTGTCACCACGTGACGTGCCCTTTGGGGTGATGGCCCTTTGGGGTGAAGTCATTGTGCATGCCAGAAGATTCCAGGATGTATCCAGGAGCCCCTTGCCGGAAGACCAGGAAGACCTGGCAACCCTACCTCTGTCCTATTGAGCCCCAATTCCATATTGTCTTCCAGTTGTCTGAATTTGCAATTGAAGGAAAGGAACTGGTTTTTTTTCCTGTGCGCAAGGGTGGGAGAGACTCTCCTTGTTCAGTGGAGGAGGAGGCTTCACTGACTGCGCAATGGACCTTTTCCTGTAATACACAATGAAATTATCTCCTGTAGGGATTGGGTTGCTGAGCATGTGCAGAGTTTCTCCTGCCCTTCTACTCCAGTCTCTCCCCTAATAATCCAAAATAATTCAAAATCATAGGAAATTGCCACTGCTTCGGCTGAAGGGGTGTTACTTCTTACAAAAAATGTCCCAAGAATGCAGTGTTAATGGGGTTAAACAGCTTTGTAGCAGGAGTCACAATAGTACGGTCAAGCGACCAGCCAATAGAACCAACCAGCCAATAGAACTCTTCTCTTACAAAAAATGTCCCAAGAATGCAATGTTAATGGGGTAAACAGCTTTGTAGCAAGAGTCACACTTCAGGATGCGTAGGCGGAAGGTCAAAACATCCCCCAAAGCAAAAATGATAAAGTGAAAGGACTCTCCTTCCAGAAGGGAAATTTTAGTATGGTGTTTGCAAATAACAAGCAGGGCAAAAAAGGAAATTACAAAGGCAAATAGGCTGACTGGTGCAAGTTATTAATCCAGGCAGGGCCCAGACTATCTCTGAAAATGCCTTCTGTCTGGAGGCTTTTGAGGATGGCACCAGGCACATGGGCTGGTTCTGAAATGAAGGGACAATTGACGATGTCAGCTGGACACACACCCTAGGTGATTGGGGTAGACAGAGACACCCTCGATCTCCCCACAGCCAAAGAGGCAAGCCATGGCTTTTCCCTTGGGGTGGAGGAAGGGCTCATTACCCAGTGAGGGACTTGCCCAGTTAGACGGGGGGAGGATGCAAATGTGAAACGTGATGGAATAAGAGAAATATGGTGCCATTCCTTTGGAAGGAGAGAAGCCAGCACCTTTGCACCAAGGGGGTGGTCTGGGAGCAAAGAGGGTGGGCTCCTTCAGAGACATTAATACGTGGGAATTCAAAATTTCTGGTAACTGAGATGGACAAAGGGAAGTTTCATGTTCCCAGTTCAGCAAATAAGCAGTGGGAAAGGGGGCTGGGGGGGGGGGGCACGATTGTGGCCAAAGTGCCAACTTTTGATCAGACTTTAAAAGAATTCTGAGTCAGAGCTATTTGTGAAGTCTCCTCCTTGCCATTTGCAACCTGGAGGATTCCCCCTTTAAATCTGCCACTGAGTTTGGAAAGAAGGCACCGTGAGTTCTCCTGCCAGCTTATCCCCATGCTGATTGTCTGGTGCCCTGCCTGTCTGCTCCCCCACACACCTTATTGTGTACAGGTTAAAGAGCTGGTGAGGTGAGCAGGAGAAGCCATGCTTGCCTTGGCTTATGCATCAGTAGCAGATTTAAAGGCAAGGGGGGCAAAGATTGCTTGCCCCCTCTTTCCCGTTCTTGCCCTATTCTATAGCCTCCCCATGGTGGATGTATGGGTCCTCAGTCCTAAATAATAATAATTAACTAATAATAATAGTATAGTCAGGATATCTTAAAATTTTCTGGCAACCTGAAGTTCCAGCTCTTTTAGCATTATGCACCACTAGGTGGCGAGCTAGACTTATTTTGGGGAGTTGAGAGAGCTCTGAAAGAGCTGTGACTCACCCAAGGTCACCTAGCTAGCTTCACATGGAGGAGTGTGGAATCGAACCCAGTTCTCCAGATTAGAGCCTGTCCCTCTTAACCACTACACCACACTGTCCTAAAGCTTGCCCCCGATGTCTCTCCCCAGCCGTGCGCAGTGGCTACCGCATCCAAGCCAACCAGCAAGATGACTCCATGCGGGTGCTGTACTATATGGAGAAGGAGCTGGCGAACTTTGACCCCACCCGGCCAGGCCAGCCTAATGGGAGGCTTGAGAAAGGTATTTTTTGGCTCCCGGGGACTTCCGGCCTGCGGTAACTGTAACAAGAAATATTTATCATCATTTATTTATTATTTGCATTTATAGCCCACCCATCCCGCGGGTGGGCTCGGGGAAGGGTAACATCACTAGAATAAATACAATTTCAGTTTAAAGCATTAAAACACGATGAAACATTATAACAGTTAAAACAATCGGTACTGCGGAAACATTATAACAGTTAAAACAATCGGTACTGCGTGGAACAGCGTCAGTTGGCTATAAAGTCCTGGCCCGATGGTACAATGGGTTAAAGGCCAGTTGTCGGTGGTCAGTAGACAGGTGACAGACGGGTGACGACAACCTCAGGGAGGCCGTAGATGGGCGCCTGCCACCTCAGCCAAAGGGCTGGTGGAAAAGCTCCATCTTGCAGGCCCTGCGGAGTTGAAGGAGATCCCACAGGGGCCTGGTCTCAATAGGGAGCCTGTTCCACCCGGCTGGGGCCAGGACAGAGAAGGCTCTGGCCCTGGTTGAGGCAAGACAGGGCGTTCTTCAGGCCAGGGACCACCAGTAGGTGTTGGTCTTTTGAGCGTAACACTCCTGGAGGTGTATATGGGAAAAGCATGCCTGTTCTACCCCCGGGATCCCCAACACGCCAACACCTTTTCTGGCACCACCAATTTTTTTTTAGAAAGCAGGTGAGGCCTGGTGGGGCTTTTGCTCAGCAAAGCTTCTGATTGACCACTGGTGATTTGATTGGCTGTCCAGAGTTCTTTAAACGTTGCTCTGGCAGCCGCCTCACTGTGTGCCTGAAGGTAAGCTGGAGCAGCCATTTTGTAGCCGGCTCCGCCTCCTGCAGCCGCCATGACATGGCAGCCATTTTGTGGCAGTGCCCAACACACTGTGTCAAAATTCCGAAGGTAACCGCAGGCTCTGAAAGGTTGGGGACCCCCCCTGTTCCACTTTACAGGCGTGCTGACCTTTTATATCCTGATTGCCTTCCAGCCTCTGTGATGAGTGAGCTGAGTTCTCTGCACGAGGACGAACGGCGCTACGACCTGCGGCAAGGGCTGGGACGGCTGAGAAGCCAGGCCATGTCCCCCATCAGCGACCTGGAGGAGGAAAGCCTGCGGGGCAGCGAGAACCGGCGGCTGCTGCCCCCCGCCCGCCGCGACCACTACGAGGACTCCCCGCCACAGAACTCCCCCCGCCGCCCCCGTGCGCACTCCATGGATGACCTAGAGCTTGAACGGGATCCCTATCCTGCCCGTCCCAGGCCCCGAGGGCGCCGTGGCTCAGACGAATGGCGCCCACGCGACTACTCCCCGGACTCCCGCAATGACTATGAGCACTACGGCGGACGGCGCAGCCGGAGCAAAGATGATCTGCGGGACTTGGAGCCGTCCCGCTATGATGACCGGCTGCTGGAGGAGGCGCTGCGTCGGAAGCAACGGGCCGGCAGCCGCGAGCACCTGGATCAGAGGAGCCCTTCGAGCAGCAGGTCCGGTCACAGGAAGAACCGGGACGGCGACAGCAATGGCTTCCCTCCGCCGCCTCCACCTCCGTACACTGAGACAGAATCCGTTTCTTCCCGTGGCAAGAACGACCGCAAACTCCGAAGGGTGAGGGCAGAGAACACGACAGGGGCGCTGGGTTAATGTGCCGTACTAATTTATTTCAATTTATTTACAAAATTTATATTCCACCTTTCTGGCCTCACAAGGGACACCAAGGCACCTAACAATTTAAGATGTACATGATAAAACCTCATTTTAAAACCATTAAAATCAACCACCACCATCCCCCCGACACATCATTAGAACAAATTAAAAACGGAGTTCGAATACACACAAAGACATAAAAAGAGCAATTAAAACATCAGTCAGGAAGAAGAGAAGAGATTGGATTTATACCGCTCCCTTCACTACCCAAAGGTAGTCTCAAAGCGGTTGAGTCTCAGATGAGTCTCAAAGCAGTTCCTTTCCCTTCCCCACCCCACGACAGACACCCTGTGAGATAGGCAGGACAGAGAGAGCTCTTTCGAGAACTGCTCTTGAGACAACAGCTCTGAGAGAACTTGTAACTGACCCAAGGTCATGCCACCAGCTGCATATGGAGGCATAGGGAATCAACCATGGTTCTCCCAGATTAGAGTCTGCGCTGCTAACCACTACACCAAACTGGAAGGTGGGATCACTGTGGGAAACCCAAATGAAACAAAGTCTTCGCCCGCTGGCAACACACGGGAACAGATGAATCCCCCCGGGACCAGAATCCCAGAGCTTTGGTGCTGTGATCGAGAAGGCCCTGTCTGGGGTTGCCACTTGCCTGACCTCAGAAGGCAGGGAGACCCAATACAGGGCCTCCAAGGTGACTGTAATGGTCAGGTGGGTTCATAAGGTAGTAGGCAGTCCTTCAGATATGTTGGTCCGAAGCCATATAGGATTTGGGAAAAGGCTGAAAAGAGCACATCGAAGGGCTTTTAGATCTGATTGTGCTTTGTTAGTGAGATCCGAGTGTGGGGTTGGGGAGGATGACACGGAAGGCTTGGTAAAAGTTGGACAAGGCCTTGCTTTTGCAGTTCTGAGCAAAATAGCATCTGTTTCAGTTATAATGGAGGTAACTGGACCATCATCTTGATCAGGGGTCTTTTTTTAGAAAAAGAGCTGCAGGAGCTCATTAGCATATGGTATGCTAATAAGCTACTAGGCTATTAGCATAATAGCTCATTAGCATATGCAACACCCCGTGACATCACCGGAAGTGATGTCAGAAGGGGAAGCAAAAGGGGGGGGGAAGGCATCTTCAAAAGCCTCCCGTTCCCGAAGCGAAGAGAAAAGGGGTTTAAAGTTTAAACCCCTTCTCCCTAGAGTTGGGCCACATAAGGAGGAAAGAAGGAAGGAAAGCGAGAGAGAGAGAAGGAATGAAGGAAGGAAAAAGTGAAAGAAAGAGAAGGAAAGAGGGGGAAAAGAGAGGGAAAGAAAGAGAGTAAGGAAGAAAGAGGGAA